AGGGAGTGATCAATGCCTGCAGGCACTGAGGGACAGATCCATGCCTGCAGGTCCTGAGGGAGAGATCCATGCCTGCAGGTCCTGAGGGACAGATCCATGCCTGCAGGTCCTGAGGGACAGATCCATGCCTGCAGGTCCTGAGGGAGTGATCAATGCAGAGATCCATGCCTGCAGGTCCTGAGGGAGTGATCCATGCCTACAGGTCCTGAGGGACAGATCCATGCCTGCAGGTCCTGAGGGAGTGATCAAGGCAGAGATCCATGCCTGCAGGCCATTAGGGAGAGATCCATGCCTGCAGGCTCTGAGGGAGTGATCCATGCCTGCAGACCCTGAGGGAGAGATCCATGCCTGCAGGCACTGAGGGACAGATCCATGCCTGCAGGTCCTGAGGGACAGATCCATGCCTGCAGGTCCTGAGGGAGAGATCCATGCCTGCAGGTCCTGAGGGAGTGATCAATGCAGAGATCCATGCCTGCAGGCCATGAGGGAGAGATCCATGCCTGCAGGCTCTGAGGGAGTGATCCATGCCTGCAGACCCTGAGGGAGAGATCCATGCCTGCAGGCTCTGAGGGAGTGATCCATGCCTGCAGACCCTGAGGGAGAGATCCATGCCTGCAGGCTCTGTGGGAGAGATCCATGCCTGCCGGCCCTGAGGGTGATGACACATGTATGAAAGTTCTGAGGGTGATGACACATCTAAGGCCCTTTTTGCTGCATCAACTGACAAATACTGATCTACTACAAACACTTGTGGGGAAAAGTTGTATATATTTAATAATAAAAATAAATTGAAATAGTATTTCATATAATACAAGCAAATATAATTGTTGCATAGGAAGAAAGATTGATTATTACATAAAACAGGATGATCTTTGCATCATGAAGAAATAAACAAGAAGACAAAGTCATCAATATCCCCCGCAATGGCAAAATACTCTTCATGTTTATGTCTACACGTTATGATTATGTCAAATATTTGGGTGTGTATATAGAAAAGTGGAAGGAGAGTATTGAAAGGTTTTTAAAGTTCTGCTCCAGAAAATAGCACTATCACCAATTTCAGTCTATGTCAAACTTGTTACCATGGAAATGCCAAAAATATTTAATTCAGAAATCCAAAACTACCAAAAGGCACCAGTACACCACCAGATCTATGTATGTGCCAAGTTTGGTGAAGAAATAGTGAATGGTTTTAGAGTTCTGCTCCGGAAAAGTGCACTACCACCAATTTCTGTTTTAGTCAAACTTGTTGCCATGGAAATGCCAAAAATATTTTATTCAGAATTCCAAAACTACCAAAAAGGAACCAGTACACCACCAGACCAAAATATGTGTCAAGTTTGGTGAAGAAATAGTGAACGGTTTTAGAGTTCTGCTCCGGAAAAGAGCACTACCACCAATTTCAGGCTAAGTCAAACTTGTTGCCATGGAAACGCCAAAAATATTTTATTCAGAATTCAAAACTACCAAAAGGCACCAGTCCAATCTATGTGCCAAGTTTGGTGAAGAAATAGTGAACGGTTTTAGAGTTCAGCTCCAGAAAAGAGCACAACCACCAATTTCAGTCTAAGTCAAACTTGTTGCCATGGAAATGCCAAAAATATTTTATTCAGAATTCCAAAACTACCAAAAGGCACCATTACACCACCAGATCTATCTATGTGCCAAGTTTGGTGAACGGTTTTAGAGTTCTGCTCCGGAAAAGAGCACTACCACCAATTTCAGGCTAAGTCAAACATGTTGCCATGGAAACGCCAAAAATATTTTATTCAGAATTCCAAAACTACCAAAAGGCACCAGACCAATCTATGTGCCAAGTTTGGTGAAGAAATAGTGAACGGTTTTAGAGTTCAGCTCCAGAAAAGAGCACAACAACCAATTTCAGTTTAAGTTTAACTTGTTGCCACGGAAACGCCAAAAATATTTTATTCAGAATTCCAAAACTACCAAAAGGCACCAGTACACCACCAGATCTATCTAGGTGCCAAGTTTGGTGAAGAAACGTTGAACGGTTTTAGAGTTCTGCTCCAGAAAAGAGCACTACCACTAATTTCAGTCTAATAAATGCCAAAATTTATACAGAATTCCAAAACTACCAAAAGGCACCAGTACACCACCAGACCAATCTATGTGCCAAGTTTGGTGAAGAAATAGTGAACGGTTTTAGAGTTCTACTCCGGAAAAGTTTACTACCACCAATTTCAGGCTAAGTCAAACTTGTTGCCATGGGAAGCGTAAAAATATTTTATTCAGAATTCCAAAACTACCAAAAGTCACCAGTACACCACCAGATCTATCTATGTGCCAAGTTTGGTGAAGAAATAGTGAACGGTTTTAGAGTTCTACTCCAGAAAAGTTTACTACCACCAATTTCAGGCTAAGTCAAACTTGTTGCCATGGAAACGCCAAAAATATTTTATTCAGAATTCCAAAACTACCAAAAGTCACCAGTACACCACCAGATCTATCTATGTGCCAAGTTTGGTGAAGAAATAGAGAACGGTTTTAGAGTTCTGCTCCAGAAAAGAGCACTACCACTAATTTAATTCTAAGTCGAACTTGTTGCCATGGAAACGCCAAAAATATTTTATTCAGAATTCCAAAACTACCAAAAGTCACCAGTACACCACCAGATCTATCTATGTGCCAAGTTTGGTGAAGAAATAGTGAACGGTTTTAGAGTTCTACTCCAGAAAAGTTTACTACCACCAATTTCAGGCTAAGTCAAACTTGTTGCCATGGAAACGCCAAAAATATTTTATTCAGAATTCCAAAACTACCAAAAGTCACCAGTACACCACCAGATCTATCTATGTGCCAAGTTTGGTGAAGAAATAGAGAACGGTTTTAGAGTTCTGCTCCAGAAAAGAGCACTACCACTAATTTAATTCTAAGTCGAACTTGTTGTCACGGAAACGCCAAAAATTTTTATCCAGAAATCACATAAAGGACTGTCAGGCTTGAAACTTTATGAACACATGTCTTGACACTTGCCCCCAACACAGAATACCTGTCTTACAGCTTGCCCCCAACACAGAATACCTGCCTTACAGCTTGCCCCCAACACAAAATACCTGTCTTACAGCTTGCCCCCAACACAAAATACCTGCCTTACAGCTTGCCCTCAACACAAAATACCTGCCTTACAGCTTGCCCCCAACACAAAATACCTGCCTTACAGCTTGCCCCCAACACAGAATACCTGCCTTACAGCTTGCCCCAACACAGAATACTTGTCTTACAGCTTGCCCCCAACACAGAATACTTGTCTTAAAGCTTGCCCACACAGAATGCATGTCTTACAGCTTGCCATCAACACACAATACCTGTCTTGCAGCTTGCCTCCGACTCTGCATACTTATCTTATAGCTTGCCACCCACACTGAATACTCGTCTTACAGCTTGCCACCCACACAGAATACTTGTCTTACAGCTTGCCACCCACACTGAATACTTGTCTTACAGCTTGCCACCCACACAGAATACTTGTCTTACAGTTTGCCACCAACACTGAATACTTGTCTTACAGCTTGCCACCCACACTGAATACTTGTCTTACAGCTTGCCCCAACACTGAATACTTGTCTTACAGCTTGCCCCAACACTGAAAACTTGTCTTACAGCTTGCCCCAACACTGAATACTTGTTTTACAGCTTGCCCCCAACACTGAATACTTGTCTTTACAGCTTGCCACCCACACAGAATACTTGTCTTACAGCTTGCCACCCACACTGAATACTTGTCTTACAGCTTGCCACCCACACAGAATACTTGTCTTACAGCTTGCCACCCACACTGAATACTTGTCTTACAGCTTGCCCCAACATTGAATACTTGTCTTACAGCTTGCCCCAACACTGAATACTTGTCTTACAGCTTGCCACCCACACTGAAAACTTGTCTTACAGCTTGCCCCCAACACTGAATACTTGTCTTACAGCTTGCCACCCACACTGAACACAGCTTTGCCCCCACACTGGACACAGCCTGCCCCCCGCAATGGACACAGCTTGACACACACCCACCCCCCCTTCCCACCCCAGGACACAGCCTGCCCCCAACACTGAACAATGCTTGCCCCACACTGAACACAGCTTACCGCCCCACACTGGACTCCAGCTTCCCACTGGACACAGTTTTCCCCCAAATCACACTGAACACAGCTTGCCCCCACACTGAACACAGCTTGCCCCCACACTGAACACAGCTTGCCCCCACTGAACACAGCTTGCCCCCACCCACCCACACTGGACACAGCTTGCCCCCACACTGAACACAGCTTGCCCCCACACTGGACACAGCTTGCCCCCCACACTGAACACAGCTTGCCCCACACACTGAACACAGCTTGCCCACCACACTGGACACAGCTTGCCCCACCCACACTGAACACAGCTTGCCCCACACTGAACACAGCTTGCCCCCACACTGAACACAGCTTGCCCCCCACACTGGACACAGCTTGCCCCCCACACTGGACACAGCTTGTCCCCATACATAATCACCCATACATTGATCATCATTTCTAAATGCCCTTCAAAGAACCCAAAGTTCTTTATGTAAATAAGCTCTGTGGAATGGAACCAAATTATGAAATATGTAAAATGACTGAGAAACACAGGACTGATGTTTGCCACCATTGATACCCTCAAGCCCACCACATGCATGCAACATCGCCACACATGACCTCGTTTAGAGTGAGTGAGTTGAGTTTTACGCCGCACTCAACAATATTCCAGCTATATGGCGGCAGTCTGTAAATAGTCGAGTCTGGATCAGACAATCCAGTGATGCATGAGCATCGATCTGCGCAATTGGGAACCGATGACATGAGTCAACCAAGTCAGCAAGCCTGACCACCCGATCCCATTAGTCGCCTCTTATGACAAACATGGGTTATTAAAGATCAATGTTCTAACACGGAGGGGATGGTGGGGTAGCCTAGTGGTTACGGCGTTCGCTCGTCACGCCGAAAACCCGGGTTAGATTCCCCACATAGGTACAATGTGTGAAGCCCATTTCTGCTGTACCCCGCCGTGATATTGCTGGAATATTGCTAAAAGTGGCGTAAAATTAAACTCACTCACTCTAACACGGACCTTCACAGGTCACCTCGTTTAGAAGACCCACAGAACACATCCTTTCTTACTGAATGAGAGCTGTTATAACAAAGACACACACGCACTGATGGGCCACTGTTCATACAAAGAGACATAGAAAAAGTTCGTGAAATCACTGAATGTCTGTTTGGATATGTCCACACATATACATCCCCTACAGACAATATCAACAGTTACACACACGATGCCAGTACATGGTTGTCAAGGCAACGCCTTGTCCTCCAAGGGTACTTGCATGCCCATATCCCTACACACAGATTCGATATTCCTTAACAGTCGTTCAACATCTTCTGGAAACAGATGGCCGATTGTCCCAATTCGAAAACAATCAGCTTTGAGCAACTTCCCTGGATATATTACATCATCTGAAAACCAAAGAAAATGTGTTATTTTACATACAATCAAACAAAAAGTCCTTCATCAATATTCGCAGAAAAATACAAAAAACAATATGGTACATTTCCCAGAAACAGGATAGCAACATCTCTTGCAAAGAATATTTTAAAATATGTAAAATATATATATCTACAAGAACATCACCATTTATTATTTGACCATCCCAAACTGACGAATCGATGATGTTATAATATGGAAACATATTCAGGAAAGTTCTTAACAAAAAGTATCCTGAAATTTTTGCCTAACAAATCCATCAACAAACTGAAAAACCCCATGAGGTAAAATAGGCCTGGCCTTGGGATGTGCTGCTTATGAAAACACCCACTTTTGTCATTCAGCCGGTTGTAGAACTCTGCGAAGGAGAAGTTTGGATGTTGTGGGTAGAAGTAGGAGGTGATGATATAGCCTGCAACATCTGCCTTCAAATATGAGTGGAAGCCCAGGCGTGTCATGCCTTCATTAAGGACTCTGCAGTTCTCCATGTATCTGAAATACAATTTTCCATTACACAAAACATAAACACAAGCCCACACCCTTGTGAAATAAAGTCTGTATAACTCAGCCATGCAACACCTCGCTACAACCTCCAACCATGCAACACCTCGCTACAACCTCCAGCCATGGAACACCTCACTACAACCTCCAGCCATGGAACACCTAACTACAATCTCCAGCCATGGAACACCTCACTACAACCTCCCTCCAGTCATGGAACACCTCACTACAACCTCCCTCCAGCCATGGAACACCTCGCTACAACCTCCAGCCATGGAACACCTCACTACAACCTCCAGCCATGGAACACCTCACTACAACCTCCCTCTAGTCATGCAACACCTCACTACAACTTCCACCCATGGAACACCTCACTACAATCTCCAGCCATGGAACACCTCACTACAACCTCAAGACATGGAACACCTCACTACAACCTCCCTCCAGCCATGGAACACCTCGCTACAACCTCAAGACATGGAACACCTCACTACAACCTCCAGTCATGCAACACCTCACTACAACCTCCCTCCAGCCATGGAACACCTCGCTACAACCTCCAGCCATGGAACACCACACTACAACCTCCAGCAATGGAACACCTCACTACAACCTCCCTCCAGTCATGCAACACCTCACTACAACTTCCACCCATGGAACACCTCGCTACAACCTCCAGCCATGGAACACCTCACTACAACCCCCAGCCATGGAACACCTCACTACAACCTCACTACAACCTCTGCAGTTCTCCATGTATCTGAAATACAATTTTCCATTACACAACACATAAACACAAGCCCACACCCTTGTGAAATAAAGTCTGTATAACTCAGCCATGCAACACCTCGCTACAACCTCCAGCCATGCAACACCTCGCTACAACCTCCAGCCATGGAACACCTCACTACAACCTCCAGTCATGGAACACCTCACTACAACCTCCAGCCATGGAACACCTCACTACAACTTCCAGCCATGGAACACCTCACTACAACCTCCCTCCAGTCATGCAACACCTCACTACAATTTCCACCCATGGAACACCTCACTACAATCTCCAGCCATGGAACACCTCACTACAACCTCCAGTCATGCAACACCTCACTACAACCTCCATCCAGCTATGGAACACCTCGCTACAATCTCCAGCCATGGAACACCTCACTACAACCTCCAGCCATGGAACACCTCACTACAACCTCCCTCCAGTCATGCAACACCTCACTACAACTTCCACCCATGGAACACCTCACTACAATCTCCAGCCATGGAACACCTCACTACAACCTCCAGCCATGCAACACCTCGCTACAACTTCCACCCATGGAACACCTCACTAACACCTCCAGAGATGGAACACCTCACTACAACCTCCCTCCAGCCATGCAACACCTCGCTACAACCTCCAGCCATGGAACACCTCACTACAACCTCCAGCAATGGAACACCTCACTACAACCTCCAGCCATGCAACACCTCACAACAACCTCCAATCATGGAACACCTCACAACCTCCCTCTAGTCATGGAACACCTCACTACAACCTCTCTCCAGTCATGGAACACCTCACTAAAACCTCCAGCCATGGAACACCTCACTACAACCTCCAGCCATGGAACACCTCACTACAACCTCCAGCCATTGAACACCTCACTACAACCTCCCTCCAGCCATGGAACACCTCGCTACAACCTCAAGACATGGAACACCTCACTACAACCTCCAGAGATGGAACACCTCACTACAACCTCCAGCCATGGATTACCTCACTACAACCTCCCTCCAGCCATGCAACACCTCGCTACAACCTCCAGAGATGGAACACCTCGCTCCAACCTCCAGTTATGGAACACCTCGTTACAATCTCCAGCCATGGAACACCTCGCTACAACCTCCAGCCATGGAACACCTCACCACAACCTCCATCCAGTCATGCAACACCTCACTACAACTTCCACCCATGGAACACCTCACTACAATCTCCCGCCATGGAACACCTCGTTACAACCTCCAGTCATGCAACACCTCGCTACAACCTCCCTCCAGTCATGCAACACCTCACTACAACTTCCACCAATGGAACACCTCACTACAACCCTCCAGGAATGGAACACCCACTACAACCTCCAGTCATGCAACACCTCACTACAACCTCCTCCAGCCATGGAACACCTCGCTACAACCTCCAGCCATGGAACACCACACTACAACCTCCAGCCATGGAACACCTCACTACAACCTCCCTCCAGTCATGCAACACCTCACTACAACTTCCACCAATGGAACACCTCGCTACAACCTCCAGCCATGGAACACCTCACTACAACCCCCAGCCATGGAACACCTCACTACAACCTCACTACAACCTCTGCAGTTCTCCATGTATCTGAAATACAATTTTCCATTACACAACACATAAACACAAGCCCACACCCTTGTGAAATAAAGTCTGTATAACTCAGCCATGCAACACCTCGCTACAACCTCCAGCCATGCAACACCTCACTACAACCTCCAGCCATGGAACACCTCACTACAACCTCCAGTCATGGAACACCTCACTATAACCTCCAGCCATGGAACACCTCACTACAACCTCCAGCCATGGAACACCTCACTACAACCTCCCTCCAGTCATGCAACACCTCACTATAATTTCCACCCATGGAACACCTCACTACAATCTCCAGCCATGGAACACCTCACTACAACCTACAGTCATGCAACACCTCGCTACAACCTCCCTCTAGTCATGCAACACCTCACTACAACTTCCACCCATGGAACACCTCACTACAACCTCCAGCCATGGAACACCTCACTACAACCTCCAGCAATGGAACACCTCACTACAACCTCCAGCCATGCAACACCTCACTACAACCTCCAATCATGGAACACCTCACAACCTCCCTCTAGTCATGGAACACCTCACTACAACCTCTCTCCAGTCATGGAACACCTCACTACAACCTCCAGCCATGGAACACCTCAGTACAACCTCCAGCCATGGAACACCTCACTACAACCTCCAGCCATTGAACACCTCACTACAACCTCCCTCCAGCCATGGAACACCTCGCTACAACCTCAAGACATGGAACACCTCACTACAACCTCCAGAGATGGAACACCTCACTACAACCTCCAGCCATGGATTACCTCACTACAACCTCCCTCCAGCCATGCAACACCTCGCTACAACCTCCAGAGATGGAACACCTCGCTCCAACCTCCAGCTATGGAACACCTCGTTACAATCTCCAGCCATGGAACACCTCGCTACAACCTCCAGCCATGGAACACCTCACCACAACCTCCATCCAGTCATGCAACACCTCACTACAACTTCCACCCATGGAACACCTCACTACAATCTCCCGCCATGGAACACCTCGTTACAACCTCCAGTCATGCAACACCTCGCTACAACCTCCCTCCAGTCATGCAACACCTCACTACAACTTCCACCAATGGAACACCTCACTACAATCTCCAGGAATGGAACACCTCACTACAACCTCCAGTCATGCAACACCTCACTACAACCTCCCTCCAGCCATGGAACACCTCGCTACAACCTCCAGCCATGGAACACCACACTACAACCTCCAGCCATGGAACACCTCACTACAACCTCCCTCCAGTCATGCAACACCTCACTACAACTTCCACCAATGGAACACCTCGCTACAACCTCCAGCCATGGAACACCTCACTACAACCCCCAGCCATGGAACACCTCACTACAACCTCACTACAACCTCTGCAGTTCTCCATGTATCTGAAATACAATTTTCCATTACACAACACATAAACACAAGCCCACACCCTTGTGAAATAAAGTCTGTATAACTCAGCCATGCAACACCTCGCTGACTCACAACCTCCAGCCATGCAACACCTCACTACAACCTCCAGCCATGGAACACCTCACTACAACCTCCAGTCATGGAACACCTCACTACAACCTCCAGCCATGGAACACCTCACTACAACCTCCCGCCATGGAACACCTCACTACAACCTCCCTCCAGTCATGCAACACCTCACTACAATTTCCACCCATGGAACACCTCACTACAATCTCCAGCCATGGAACACCTCACTACAACCTCCAGTCATGCAACACCTCGCTACAACCTCCCTCTAGTCATGCAACACCTCACTACAACTTCCACCCATGGAACACCTCACTACAACCTCCAGCCATGGAACACCTCACTACAACCTCCAGCAATGGAACACCTCACTACAACCTCCAGCCATGCAACACCTCACTACAACCTCCAATCATGGAACACCTCACAACCTCCCTCTAGTCATGGAACACCTCACTACAACCTCTCTCTAGTCATGGAACACCTCACTACAACCTCCAGCCATGCAACACCTCAGTACAACCTCCAGCCATGGAACACCTCACTACAACCTCCAGCCATTGAACACCTCACTACAACCTCCCTCCAGCCATGGAACACCTCGCTACAACCTCAAGACATGGAACACCTCACTACAACCTCCAGAGATGGAACACCTCGCTACAACCTCCAGCCATGGATTACCTCACTACAACCTCTCTCCAGCCATGCAACACCTCTCTACAACCTCCAGAGATGGAACACCTCGCTCCAACCTCCAGCCATGGAACACCTCACTACAACCACCCTCCAGCCATGGAACACCTCACTACAACCTCCCTCCAGCCATGCAACACCTCGATACAACCTCCAGAGATGGAACACCTCGCTCCAACCTCAAGAGATGGAACACCTCGCTACAACCTCCAGAGATTGAACACCTCGCTACAACCTCCAGCCATGGATTACCTCTCTACAACCTCCCTCCAGCCATGGAACACCTCGCTACAACCTCCAGCCATGGAACACCTCGCTACAACCTCCAGCCATGGAACACCTCACTACAACCACCCTCCAGCCATGGAACACCTCACTACAACCTCCTTCCAGCCATGGAACACCTCACTACAACCTCCAGAGATGGAACACCTCGCTACAACCTCCAGAGATGGAACATCTCGCTACAACCTCCCTCCAGCCATGGAACACCTCACTACAACCTCCAGGCATGGAAAACCTCACTACAACCTCCAGCCATGGAACACCTCACTACAACCTCCCTCCAGCCATGGAACACCTCGCTACAACCTCCAGCCTTGGAACACCTCGCTACAACCTCCAGAGATGGAACACCTGCTACAACCTCCAGCCATGGAACACCTCACTACAACCTCCCTCCAGTCATGGAACACTCCGGCTACAACCTCCAGAGATGGAACACCTCGCTACAACCTCCAGAGATGGAACACCTCGCTACAACCTCCAGCCATGGAACACCTCACTACAACCTCCCTCCAGCCATGGAACACCTCACTACAACCTCCAGAGATGGAACACCTCACTACAACCTCCAGAGATGGATTACCTCACTACAACCTCCCTCCAGCCATGCAACACCTCCTCGATACAACCTCCCCTCCAGTCATGGAACACCTCGGCTACAACCTCCCTCCAGCCATGGAACACCTCACTACAACCTCCAGAGATGGAACACCTCACTACAACCTCCAGAGATGGAACACCTCGCCGCTACAACCTCCAGCAATGGATTACCTCACTACAACCTCCCTCCAGCCATGGAACACCTCGATACAACCTCCCTCCAGTCATGGAACACCTCGCTACAACCTCCAGCCATGGAACACCTCACTACAACCTCCATCCAGCCATGCAACACCTCGATACAATCTCCAGCAATGGAACACCTCACTACAACCTCCAGCCATGGAACACCTCACTACAACCTCCCTCCAGTCATGCAACACCTCACTACAACTTCCACCCATGGAACACCTCACTACAATCTCCAGCCATGGAACACCTCACTACAACCTCCAGTCATGCAACACCTCGCTACAACCTCCCTCCAGTCATGCAACACCTCACTACAACTTCCACCCATGGAACACCTCACTACAACCTCCAGAGATGGAACACCTCACTACAACCTCCCTCCAGCCATGCAACACCTCGCTACAACCTCCAGCCATGGAACACCTCACTACAACCTCCAGCAATGGAACACCTCACTACAACCTCCAGCCATGCAACACCTCACTACAACCTCCAATCATGGAACACCTCACAACCTCCCTCTAGTCATGGAACACCTCACTACAACCTCTCTCCAGTCATGGAACACCTCACTACAACCTCCAGCCATGGAACACCTCACTACAACCTCCAGCCATTGAACACCTCACTACAACCTCCAGCCATTGAACACCTCACTACAACCTCTCTCCAGCCATGGAACACCTCGCTACAACCTCAAGACATGGAACACCTCACTACAACCTCCAGAGATGGAACACCTCGCTACAACCTCCAGCCATGGATTACCTCACTACAACCTCCCTCCAGCCATGCAACACCTCGCTACAACCTCCAGAGATGGAACACCTCGCTCCAACCTCCAGAGATTGAACACCTCGCTACAACCTCCAGCCATGGAACACCTCACTACAACCACCCTCCAGCCATGGAACACCTCACTACAACCTCCCTCCAGCCATGGAACACCTCACTACAACCTCCAGAGATGGAACATCTCGCTACAACCTCCCTCCAGCCATGGAACACCTCACTACAACCTCCAGGCATGGAAAACCTCACTACAACCTCCCGCCATGGAACACCTCACTACAACCTCCCTCCAGCCATGGAACACCTCGCTACAACCTCCAGCCTTGGAACACCTCGCTACAACCTCCAGAGATGGAACACCTCGCTACAACCTCCAGCCATGGAACACCTCACTACAACCTCCCTCCAGTCATGGAACACCTCGCTACAACCTCCAGAGATGGAACACCTCGCTACAACCTCCAGAGATGGAACACCTCGCTACAACCTCCAGCCATGGAACACCTCACTACAACCTCCCTCCAGCCATGGAACACCTCACTACAACCTCCAGAGATGGAACACCTCACTACAACCTCCAGAGGGATTACCTCACTACAACCTCCCTCCAGCCATGCAACACCTCGATACAACCTCCCTCCAGTCATGGAACACCTCGATACAACCTCCCTCCAGCCATGGAACACCTCACTACAACCTCCAGAGATGGAACACCTCACTACAACCTCCAGAGATGGAACACCTCGCTACAACCTCCAGCAATGGATTACCTCACTACAAGCTCCCTCCAGCCATGCAACACCTCGATACAACCTCCCTCCAGTCATGGAACACCTCGCTACAACCTCCAGCAATGGAACACCTCACTACAACCTCCCTCCAGCCATGCAACACCTCGATACAACCTCCAGCCATGGAACACCTCGCTACAACCTCCAGCCATGGAACACCTCACTACAACCTCCCTCCAGCCATGGAACACCTCACTACAACCTCCCTCCAGCCATGGAACACCTCGCTACAACCTCCAGCCATGGAACACCTCACTACAACCTCCCTCCAGCCATGCAACACCTCAAGATACAACCTCCAGCCATGGAACACCTCGCTACAACCTCCAGCCATGGAACACCTCACTACAACCACCCTCCAGCCATGGAACACCTCGCTACAACTTCCAGCCATGGAACACCTCACTACAACCACCCTCCAGCCATGGAACACCTCACTACAACCTCCCTCCCGCCATGGAACACCTCACTACAACCTCCCTCCAGCCATGGAACACCTCGCTACAACCTCCAGCCATGGAACACCTCGCTACAACCTCCAGCCATGGAACACCTCGCTACAACCTCCAGCCATGGAACACCTCACAACAACCCTGCTATTGGTGTTACTACTTTAAAAAAACTGCTGTTACATCGAAATGCAATCGATAGTTAAAGCTGTGATCTTAAAGATGTTGTAATCTCCAATTATGACACTCTCAAGATTTTTCAGCAATATGAGAAAATATAAACTTTTGATAGAAACTAAAAACTTCATTTATATTGAAAGGGAGGTTTGAGACTAACCTCTGCCAAGGCCGTCCGTGGACTCCTCCTTCTTGTCGGAACTCATCTAAGGCCTGACTGAATGCCAGCATAGCATGTGTGGCCGGAGTAAAGCGGAACTGACTGGTTTTGTCCAGAGCATCACACTGGTCATACAAGTCCAGACTGAGACTCCTAGAGTTGCCTGAAACAAGTCAAGGTTTCTGTACCCATCAAGTCTGGATTAGCTAAGTCAACCCAGTATGTACCCTGGTGGCTGAATGCTCCAGTCTAAAAGTCATGCTGAAATATACCTGAAGATATAATTGGCAATCAATTAATTTTGTTGCCTTGTAATGGATATTTTTTCTGATGTGATAAAATCAAATAAACCTTGTAGAACAATCCAAATCTTACAGGCCTGAGGTCATCTACCAGGACCAACTTTCAGCAAACTTCATAATACAGGTACTTGATAAACAAAAGTTATCTGAGGTTACACATCCCCCTCACGGTTTAGCTGACACCCTATTCTGGTTCACTGACATTGGATACCTTTAGTTCAGGGAAGAGAGCACAAAAAGATAATGCTGTTCAATATTTTTCTAAATCCCAGTTTATCCAAAAGCACCAGATTACCACTTGTCTGATCTGTACAGCAAGTCCAACTTGTTGTTATGAAATGAAAAAAAAAACCAACATAAACAACAGAATCTCAGTTCATAGAAAGGCAACAGTACAGTAATTTACTGAGCCTTGTAGAAAATTTCTTTACGAAAAAATAATATATTTTTTATTTCTGCCCCAGGAATGAGCATTTTCAGCTTAAGTTCAATTTGTCATCATGACAGCAAAATGATGAACACAAAATTCCAAATCATCAAACAGCACGAGTTGAAGACTGACAACACTTGAGACAGTGACTCTTACCCTTGCACCGACTGAGCACGTCCTTCCTGATGATTGCAAACCCAAAGCCAGGAACCCCCTGGAGACACTTGTTAGCAGAGCTGACCAAGACATCAATGTTGCCTGCGCTGAAGTCAACTGGAACTGCCCCGAAACTGCTCATCGCATCCACAAAGTAGGTGCAGTCTGGAACAGATCTCTAACAGCATGTCGTCCTGGGATCCATTTTCAACATATGCATGTCAACATCAACATCATTCAAGTCATATCACGGGCATGTCAGCATACAATGTTCAAGTTATATTTATGACTACATGGCAGACTCCCCATTACTGGGAGGACCCCTACACATAGGAAGACTCTCCACATACTGGCAGACTCCCCATTATTGAGTTGACTCTGCTGAGGGGAGGACTCCCTACATACTGGCAGACTCCCCATTATTGAGTTGACTCTGCTGAGGGGAGGACTCCCTACATATTGGCAGACGCCCCGTTATTGAGTTGACTCTGCTGAGGGGAGGACTCCCTACATACTCCACAGACAACTCTCTAGGCACTCCCCATTATAGAGTTGACTCTGCTGAGGGGAGGACTCCCTACATACTGGCAGACGCCCCATTATTGAGTTGACTCTGCTGAGGGGAGGACTCCCTACATACTCCACAGACAACTCTCTAGGCACTCCCCATTATAGAGTTGACTTTGCTGAGGGAGGACTCCTACATACCCACAGACAACTCTCTAGGCACTCCCCATTATTGAGTTGACTCTGCTGAGGGCAGGACTCCCTACATACTGGCAGACTCCCCATTATTGAGTTGACTCTGCTGAGGGGAGGACACCCTACATACTGGCAGACGCCCCATTATTGAGTTGACTCTGCTGAGGGGAGGACGCCCTACATACTGGCAGACGCCCCATTATTGAGTTGACTCTGCTGAGGGGAGGACACCCTACATACTGGCAGACGCCCCATTATTGAGTTGACTCTGCTGAGGGGAGGACTCCCTACATACTCCACAGACAACTCTCTAGGCACTCCCCATTATAGAGTTGACTCTGCTGAGGGGAGGACTCCCTACATACTCCACAGACAACTCTCTAGGCACTCCCCATTATTGAGTTGACTCTGCTGAGGGGAGGACTCCCTACATACTGGCAGACTCCCCATTATTGAGTTGACTCTGCTGAGGGGAGGACACCCTACATACTGGCAGACTTCCCATTATTGAGTTGACTCTGCTGAGGGAGGACGCAGCCCTACATACTGGCAGAGACGCCCATTATTGAGTTGACTCTGCTGAGGGAGGACACCCTACATACTGGCAGACTTCCCATTATTGAGTTGACTCTGCTGAGGGGAGGACTCCCTACATACTCCACAGACAACTCTCTAGGCACTCCCCATTATAGAGTTGACTCTGCTGAGGGGAGGACTCCCTACATACTCCACAGACAACTCTCTAGGCACTCCCCATTATTGAGTTGACTCTGCTGAGGGGAGGACTCCCTACATACTGGCAGACTCCCCATTATTGAGTTGACTCTGCTGAGGGGAGGACACCCTACATACTGGCAGACGCCCCATTATTGAGTTGACTCTGCTGAGGGGAGGACGCCCTACATACTGGCAGACGCCCCATTATTGAGTTGACTCTGCTGAGGGGAGGACACCCTACATACTGGCAGACGTCCCATTATTGAGTTGACTCTGCTGAGGGGAGGACTCCCTACATACTCCACAGACAACTCTAGGCAGACCCATAAACAGGTCACTTTTTGGAAAGGAAACTCCATAGAATACTCACTTGGAATGTGTTTCTTTACAAGTTTCCCAACACTCTCAACATCATTGAACAATCCAGAGGTTGTTTCACACTGCACAACTGCCACATGTGTAAAGGAGTTGTCTGCCTTTAGGACCCTCTCTACACAACCAAGGTCCACCCTATTGTCTTCAGCAAAGCTCTCCATGTGAGCTGGTATGGCCAGGGTGTCACAGATCGTCTTCATCCTGCGCCCATACACACCATTCTCCAGTATCAGCACCTGCACACAGATTTTACAAGAGTGGCTAGGTTAAACAGAGATTACAAACAAACAGGTTTAATGAACTAATGTGAAGCTGTGTCTTTTATGCTACTTATGACAACATCACATGACTTTAACAATGATAGGCTGCACCTAGTAATGCCAACATTTCTCCCTGGTGATGCCATCACGTCACCCTCTCACCTTAGTAATGCCATGATCTCACCTTACTGAAGCCATTATCTAACCCTGGTGATGCCGTCATCTCACCCTCTCACCTTAGTAATGCCATCATCTCACCCTCTCACCTTAGTAATGCCATCATCTCACCTTACTGAAGCCATCATCTAACCCTGGTGATGCCGTCATCTCACCCTCTCACCTTAGTAATGCCATCATTTCACCTTGTCATCTTAGTAATACCATCATCTCAACTTACTGAAGCCATCATCTAACCCTGGTGATGCCATCATCTCACTCTCTCATCTTAGTAATGCCATCATCTCACCCTGTCATATTAGTAATACCATTGTTTCATCCTAGTGATGCCATCATCTCACCTTAGTCATCTCACCCTAGAGATGCCATCATCTCACCTTAGCCATCTCATCTTAAAGATGCCATCATCTCACCTTAGCCATCTCACCCTAGAGATGCCATCATCTCACCTTAGTCATCTCACCCTAGAGATGCCATCATCTCACCTTAGTCATCTCACCCTAGAGATGCCATCATCTCACCTTAGTCATCTCACCCTAGAGATGCCATCATCTCACCTTAGCCATCTCACCCTAGAGATGCCATCATCTCACCTTAGTCATCTCACCCTAGAGATGCCATCATCTCACTTAGTCATCTCACCCTAGAGATGCCATCATCTCACCTTAGCCATCTCACCCTAGAGATGCCATCATCTCACCTTAGTCATCTCACCCTAGAGATGGCATCATCTCATCTTAGCCATCTCACCCTAGAGATGCCATCATCTCACCTTAGTCATCTCACCCTAGAGATGCCATCATCTCACTTAGTCATCTCACCCTAGAGATGCCATCATCTCACCTTAGCCATCTCACCCTAGAGATGCCATCATCTCACCTTAGTAATGCCATCATCTGACCCTCTCATCTTCAAATAGCCATTATCTCACCCTCTCACCTACCGTAAGTAATGCCATCGTCTCACCCTAATGATGCCATGACCTCACCCTCTCACCATAGTGATACCTTTATTTGAATTCTCTCCATAGTGAAGCTACTGTATCCCTGTGCCCAAAATTAGTCTTTAATCCCGCCATGAAACCTACTTGCTCTCTAGTGAATCTATAATCTCACCCATTTTATTCCAGTAAAGCTACCACTTCACCCTGTACCCTACTCAGGCTAACATCTCACCTTGCCCCCTGTGCGGGGTACAGTTGTCTGGAAGATGGACTCCACAGCAAATGTCCCACTACCTTGAAGTAAGATCGACGTGAAGTCTGCTGGATCAACCTCTGGAGACAAACAGGAACACAATCAGAGTGAGTGAGTTTGGTTTTACGCCACTTTTAGCAATATTCCAGCAATAGCACAGCGGGGGACACCAGAAATGAGCTTCACACAATGTACCCATGTGGGGAATAGAAACCAGGTCTACAGCATGACGAGCGAAGGCTTTAACCACTAGGCTACCCCACCGCCACGAACACAATCAGAGGCGGCTCTAGTCACACTATTGTCAGGAACAGAATCGGGGTGGCTCTAGTCACACTATTGTCAGGAACAAAATCTGAGTTGAGTTCGGTTTTACGTCACAAAATATGAGGTGGCTTTAGTCACACTATTGTCAGGAACAGAATCAGAGGTGGCTTTTGTGACACTATTGTCAGGAACACAATCAGAGGCGGCTCTAGTCACACTACTGTCAGGAACACAATCAGAGGTGGCTTTAGTCACACTATTGTCAGGAACACAATCAGAGGTGGCTTTAGTCACACTATTGTCAGGAACACAATCAGAGGCGGCTCTAGTCACACTACTGTCAGGAACACAATCAGAGGTGGCTTTAGTCACACTATTGTCAGGAACACAATCAGAGGTGGCTTTAGTCACACTATTGTCAGGAACACAATCAGAGGTGGCTTTAGTCACACTATTGTCAGGAACACAATCAGAGGTGGCTTTAGTCACACTATTGTCAGGAACACAATCAGAGGTGGCTTTAGTCACACTATTGTCAGGAACACAATCAGAGGTGGCTTTAGTCACACTATTGTCAGGAACACAATCAGAGGTGGCTTTAGTCACACTATTGTCAGGAACACAATCAGAGGTGGCTTTAGTCACACTATTGTCAGGAACACAATCAGAGGCAGCTCTAGTCACACTACTGTCAGGAACACAATCAGAGGTGGCTACTGTCAGGAACACAATCAGAGGTGGCTTTAGTCACACTATTCTCAGGAACACAATCAGAGGCGGCTTTAGTCACACTATTTTCAGGGACATAATCAGAGGTGGCTTTAGTCACACTATTCTCAGGAACACAATCAGAGGCGGCTTTAGTCACACTATTTTCAGGGACATAATCAGAGGTGGCTTTAGTCACACTATTCTCAGGAACACAATCAGAGGCGGCTTTAGTCACACTATTCTCAGGAACACAATCAGAGGTGGCTTTAGTCACACTATTCTCAGGAACACAATCAGAGGCGGCTTTAGTCACACTATTTTCAGGGACATAATCAGAGGTGGCTCTAGTCACATGTAATACTGTATAATATATCATTGTAAGTATGATTTTGAACTTGACATTACTTAACAGACCAACTTAGATGTACCTGACTCAGTGTTCATACAACTAAAAGCTGCATACTGCCATGAATACATTGTTGTTAGACACCAACCTGTTGAAACTCAACAGGTTTCATGCACATCTACAATGCAGGTCACCTTACCTGCTATGCTCAGCAGGTCAGCTCGGATCTTCTTGATAACATTGATAAACTTGATGTCCCGAGAGCCTAGGTCCTGCAGCATGGCTTGTCTGACAGTGAGCGAGGTGCCCAGAGGGCCTGGTGTGAACAGCTTCTTCTCTGAAACAATTTCCAGGTGAACTACATGACAGGTGTGTACACACAAGCTGTAGCATAAATATGTGTTGCTGATTCCACAGTGACAGATCGCACACTGCTACCTTACGTGACCGGCTGCATGTTCTAGCCAGAATCACTCTAGCTGGCTTCACAATGCTATTTACAGTCGCTGTGTTGGCACTATATTTTCAACAAGTTGTAATATGTCAGTATGTTCTAAGTTTTTAGAATAAATATTCCCAATACATACTACATACATACAAACCCGACAATAACACAGATGAACAGTTACTGCACCAAAACTGTGCATCCCTGAGCCTGTTTAGGCTGAGATCAGTCTACTGATAGGCTGAGATCAGCCTTCTGAACACTGCCATGAATTGGTGTTCCCTTATTTGTTTCCCTCAGTATATATGAACTGGATGTTGTATGTTAAAGGGATGTACTCAAGGTGTAACATGTAATATTGCCCTGTCAGTTCTCACCTGCTGTATGTGGATGTACTCAAGGTGTAACATGTAATATTGCTCTGTCAGTTCTCATCTACTGTATGTTAAAGGGATGTACTCAAGGTGTAACATGTAATATTGCCCTGTCAGTTCTCATCTACTCTATGTTAAAGGGATGTACTCAAGGTGTAACATGTAATATTGCCCTGTCAGTTCTCACCTGCTGTATGTTAAAGGGATGTACTCAAGGTGTGACATGTAATATTGCCCTGTCAGTTCTCACCTGTTGTATGTGGATGTACTGAAGGTGTAACATGTAATATTGCCCTGTCAGTTCTCACCTGCTGTATGTTAAAGGGATGTACTCAAGGTGTAACATGTAATACTGCCCTGTCAGTTCTCACCTGCTGTATGTTAAAGGGGTGTACTCAAGGTGTAACATGTAATATTGCCCTGTCAGTTCTCACCTGCTGTATGTGGATGTACTCAAGGTGTGACATGTAATATTGCCCTGTCAGTTCTCACCTACTGTATGTTAAAGGGATGTACTCAAGGTGTGACATGTAATATTGCCCTGTCAGTTCTCACCTGCTGTATGTGGATGTACTCAAGGTGTGACATGTAATACTGCCCTGTCAGTTCTCACCTGCTGTATGTTAAAGGGATGTACTCAAGGTGTAACATGTAATACTGCCCTGTCAGTTTTCACCTGCTGTATGTTAAAGGGATGTACTCAAGGTGTAACATGTAATACTGCCCTGTCAGTACTCACCTGCTGTATGTTAAAGGGATGTACTCAAGGTGTAACATGTAATATTGCCCTGTCAGTACTCACCTGCTGTATGTTAAAGGGATGTACTCAAGATGTGACATGTAATATTGCCCTGTCAGTTCTCACCTACTGTATGTTAAAGGGATGTACTCAAGGTGTGACATGTAATACTGCCCTGTCAGTTCTCACCTGCTGTATGTTAAAGGGATGTACTCAAGGTGTAACATGTAATACTGCCCTGTCAGTTCTCACCTGCTGTATGTTAAAGGGATGTATTCAAGGTGTAACATGTAATATTGCCCTGTCAGTTCTCATCTACTCTATGTTAAAGGGATGTACTCAAGGTGTGACATGTAATATTGCCCTGTCAGTTCTCACCTACTGTATGTTAAGGGATGTACTCAAGGTGTGACATGTAATATTGCCCTGTCAGTTCTCACCTGCTGTATGTGGATGTACTCAAGGTGTAACATGTAATATTGCCCTGTCAGTTCTCACCTGCTGTATGTTAAAGGGATGTACTCAAGGTGTGACATGTAATACTGCCCTGTCAGTTCTCACCTGCTGTATGTTAAAGGGATGTACTCAAGGTGTAACATGTAATACTGCCCTGTCAGTTTTCACCTGCTGTATGTTAAAGGGATGTACTCAAGGTGTAACATGTAATATTGCCCTGTCAGTTCTCACCTGCTGTATGTTAAAGGGATGTACTCAATGTGTAACATGTAATATTGCCCTGTCAGTACTCACCTGCTGTATGTTAAAGGGATGTACTCAAGGTGTAACATGTAATATTGCCCTGTCAGTACTCACCTGCTGTATGTTAAAGGTATGTACTCAAGGTGTAACATGTAATATTGCCCTGTCAGTTCTCACCTGCTGTATGTTAAAGGGATGTACTCAAGGTGTAACATGTAATTATGCCCTGTCAGTTCTCACCTGCTGTATGTTAAAGGGATGTACTCAAGGTGTAACATGTAATATTGCCCTGTCAGTACTCACCTGCTGTATGTTAAAGGGATGTACTCAAGGTGTAACATGTAATATTGCCCTGTCAGTTCTCACCTGCTGTATGTTAAAGGGATGTACTCAAGGTGTAACATGTAATATTGCCCTGTCAGTTCTCACCTGCTGTATGTGGATGTACTCAAGGTGTAACATGTAATATTGCCCTGTCAGTTCTCACCTGTTGTATGTGGATGTACTCAAGGTGTAACATGTAATATTGCCCTGTCAGTTCTCACCTGTTGTATGTGGATGTACTCAAGGTGTGACATGTAATATTGCCCTGTCAGTTCTCACCTGCTGTATGTTAAAGGGATGTACTCAAGGTGTAACATGTAATATTGCCCTGTCAGTTCTCACCTGCTGTATGTTAAAGGGATGTACTCAAGGTGTAACATGTAATATTGCCCTGTCAGTTCTCACCTGCTGTATGTTAAAGGGATGTACTCAAGGTGTAACATGTAATTATGCCCTGTCAGTTCTCACCTGTTGTATGTGGATGGGATGTACTCAAGCTGCGACATAACTGCACTATTTCCTTGTTGATGCCACCTTGTGATCGAAGCAGAGTGACTGAACTCCTTGCTAACTTCACACACAGTCTGAGAGACATGTTTTGTCCTGAAATGTGAAGCATCACCATATCATGCAAATTAAGACTACATATACCAATTATTCATTTTTTTATCGCAGTCAGCAATAATTTCAGCTTTGTCAATATGTATTTGATCATGATCAAAGCAGCCAAACTGGGGCAGATATCATGACCAACACTCCTTTGCATTAGGTTAAAGTGACATCATTCGGAAGTCATGATTCAACACAGCATTTGTTACTTAGTAACAGGGTTTTACAGGAGCTCTCCCCACTTGGTCTCCCTCTCCCCACTTGGTCTCCCTCTCCCCACTTGGTCTCCCTCTCCCCACTTGGTCTCCTCTCCCCACTTGGTCTCCCTCTCCCCACTTGGTCTCCCTCTCCCCACTTGGTCACATTGTAACATGACAAGTGTAGAAGTGAGCACAGCTCACATACCCCCGCTTCCCACTTTGGGACATGGAAATGACTGATATTGATATATATAATGTGACAAGGATCAGCAGCTCACAAGACTTTCTCCTTGACTCTACTAAACTTTATATACATGTTAGATAATTTGTTTTGCCATGTACCGATTACAGTAATAATTTATGGAAACATTATGTTTTTGTGTTTTCCGTGGAAACCTGACATACAATTGAACTTGTTGCACACAATGAAGTGGACGTAGATGAAGATTGTTATTTTTTAGCACATGGCATATCTGTGGGTCATGATTAACTTGTGTATTAAGTTTGGTGAACCTAGCATGTATAATTTCGATGATATGCTGTGGCCAGGTAACCATCAAACACATTTTGCACCAAGTCATGTTTCCATGGAAACAACAACAAAACAAATTGTGAACAAATTTTAAAATAGCAAAAGGCACATCAATGGGTAATGATTAACATGTGTGTGAAGTTTGAACCTAGCATGTAAACTTTAAGAGATATACTCCGGACAAAACCATCAAACACATTTGGCACTAAGTCGTGTTTCCATGGAAATAGCAAAAAAAACTAAATTCTGAAAAAATATTAAAATAGCAAAAGGCACATCAATGGGTAATGATTAACAAGTGTGTGAAGTTTGGTGAACCTAGCATGTAAACTTTAAGAGATATGCTCCGGACAAAGTTTTGGGACGGACAGACGGACGGACGGACGGACGGAATGAACGCTATATACTTCGTAGCGGGGGTATAATTAGTCTCACAAACATAACATAATGTATATAATCTGTGAATTATATAATGATGACTTCTCAGTTTCTAACTGTTGAATTCTGGAGCATGTATAAGACAGGTTGCCATGGATCAAGTTCATCATTGTGTCGGAGAGCCGCAAGGACACGATGCTCCGACTACAACCTCCACAAGGTCACTGTTGTTGCTGGGTCCTCAACCAGGCACAGATTTATCTACAATGGCAACAAGGCCATTGCAGGTGTATGCAGTGCACCAGATGTTGTCTTGATTCATGACGCAGTTAGAATAATTGGTGAAGAAGATCTCATCCGAGACATTGCCTTGGCTGCTCACAAACATGGGGCATCAGGCGTCACCCGACCCCTCATATCCACGGTGATTGCGTCAGATTCTGACGGGATGTTGATAGAGTCCTTGGACAAGAAGTCAGTACACTGCGAGTGAGATGCCGCATGGATTTAAGTATCATGTCATTAAACAGGCCTACGAGAACAGTACCGACTTTGATTTTGACTATGGTACTGAGTGTCTTCTGCTGGCCAAGAAGTATGCTGGAGTGAATGCGTGTATAGTGGCCGGCAAGCCCTACTTGTGGAAGGTGACACACAAGAAGGATTTACATGCTGCAGAAGCTGAAAGAGCAGTTACTCCCGGTAGCCATACTCGCCACCACTGGACAAGATATGTTAGTGGACACCCTTGAGAGACAGCTGTATACTGCCTTGAGATCTGAGCAGGTGAGAGTGACGTCAGAGATAATAACAAAGACTCTCAGTGAACATCCCAACACCTTTGTCCACATCCACTCCTCGTTGCCCAATGTCTGGTCAGCTCTGAATCCTGCCAACGATGCCAAATGTGACCAAGTGGGGTTTGTCTAAGAACATGTCACATAAGAGTGATGAAGCACATGGAGCAGCCTCTCAGTTTAGCTTCTCTCTCTCTCTGCTCTCACACCCACACTGTCTTTGTCTTAAACTCTCACACTCGCTCCCTCTCTCTTATCAGTAGATCTTTCACTCTGGGCTAATGCTGGGGTGACCCTTGTCCCGAGGTGCCTTAAGCTAACCCCAGACAACAAGTATTTATAGCTTTCTCCCCAAACACTAGCCCATGTGTCTTAAAGGAATCTCCCCAGTACCTTAAGTATTTAGGGAAAGATAAACCTTAAACACCCTGTCACAGGAGTGACTCAAAATCTGATGTCATATCGACAGTACTTCAGCCAGCTTTAAATGCGAGAGGCGTGTGTACTACAGTTTAGATGCAGCTTATTGAATTTTTCACTCCACATGTGAAGGGCACACTAAATATGAACAGCTGCCCGATTTGTTATAATATATAATGTAAATTGCACGTTCCATCTAACTGATATTCTGTTCACCTAAGAACTACATTCAGATGTCAATGTGTCAGCGTAAAGCTGTCAACCCCAAACGGTTCGAGGGTTGGCTCCCTCATCAGGACAGGGCACAGCTGTCAACCCCAAACGGTTCCAGGGTTGGCTCCCTCATCAGGACAGGGCAGAGCTGTCAACCCCAAACGGTTCCAGGGTTGGCTCCCTCATCAGGACAGGGCAGAGCTGTCAACCCCAAACGGTTCCAGGGTTGGCTCCCACATTAGGACAGGGCACAGCTGTCAACCCCAAACGGTTCCAGGGTTGGCTCCCTCATCAGGACAGCTAAGCGGTACGGTACCAGGGTTGGCTACCTCATCAGGACAGACAGGCACAGCTGTCAACCCCAGGAAACGGTACGGTTCCAGGGTTGGGCTCCCTCATCAGGACAGCTGTCCAACCCCAAACGGTTCCAGGGTTGGCTACCTCTCATCAAGACAGGGCACAGCTGTCAAACCCAAACAGTTCCAGGGTTGGCTTCCTCATCAGGACAGGGCAGAGCTGTCAACCCCAAACGGTACCAGGGTTGGCTCCCTCATCAGGACAGGGCACAGCTGTCAAACCCAAACAGTTCCAGGGTTGGCTTCCTCATCAGGACAGGGCAGAGCTGTCAACCCCAAACGGTTCGAGGGTTGGCTCCCTCATCAGGACAGGGCACAGCTGTCAACCCCAAACGGTACCAGGGTTGGCTCCTTCATCAGGACAGGGCACAGCTGTCAACCCCAAACGGTTCCAGGGTTGGCTCCCTCATCAGGACAGGGCACAGCTGTCAACCCCAAACGGTACCAGGGTTGGCTCCTTCATCAGGACAGCGAAACGGTTCCAGGGTTGACTACCTCATCAGGACAGGGCACAGCTGTCAAACCCAAACGGTTCCAGGGTTGGCTCCCTCATCAGGACAGTGAAACGGTTCCAGGGTTGGCTACCTCATCAGGACAGGGCACAGCTGTCAAACCCAAACAGTTCCAGGGTTGGCTTCCTCATCAGGACAGGGCAGAGCTGTCAACCCCAAACGGTTCGAGGGTTGGCTCCCTCATCAGGACAGCGAAACAGTTCCAGGGTTGGCTACCTCATCAGGACAGGGCAGAGCTGTCAACCCCAAACGGTTCGAGGGTTGGCTCCCTCATCAGGACAGCGAAACAGTTCCAGGGTTGGCTACCTCATCAGGACAGCGAAACGGTTCCAGGGTTGGCTACCTCATCAGGACAGGGCAGAGCTGTCAACCCCAAACAGTTCCAGGGTTGGCTCCCTCATCAGGACAGCGAAACGGTTCCAGGGTTGGCTTCCTCATCAGGACAGCGAAACAGTTCCAGGGTTGGCTTCCTCATCAGGACAGGGCAGAGCTGTCAACCCCAAACAGTTCCAGGGTTGGCTACCTCATCAGGACAGCGAAACGGTTCCAGGGTTGGCTTCCTCATCAGGACAGGGCAGAGCTGTCAACCCCAAACGGTTCCAGGGTTGGCTCCCTCATCAGGACAGGGCACAGCTGTCAACCCCAAACGGTACCAGGGTTGGCTCCTTCATCAGGACAGGGCACAGCTGTCAACCCCAAACGGTACCAGGGTTGGCTCCCTCATCAGGACAGGGCACAGCTGTCAACCCCAAACGGTTCCAGGGTTGGCTCCCACATTAGGACAGGGCACAGCTATCAACCCCAAACGGTTCCAGGGTTGGCTACCTCATCAGGACAGGGCACAGCTATCAACCCCAAACAGTTTCAGGGTTGGCTCCCTCATCAGGACAGGGCACAGCTGTCAACCCCAAACGGTTCCAGGGTTGGCTACCTCATCAGGACAGGGCACAGCTGTCAACCCCAAACGGTTCCAGGGTTGGCTCCCTCATCAGGACAGGGCACAGCTGTCAACCCCAAACGGTACCAGGGTTGGCTCCCTCATCAGGACAGGGCACAGCTGTCAACCCCAAACGGTTCCAGGGTTGGCTACCTCATCAGGACAGGGCAGAGCTGTCAACCCCAAACGGTACCAGGGTTGGCTCCCTCATCAGGACAGGGCACAGCTGTCAACCCCAAACGGTACCAGGGTTGGCTCCCTCATCAGGACAGGGCACAGCTGTCAACCCCAAACGGTACCAGGGTTGGCTCCCTCATCAGGACAGGGCACAGCTGTCAAACCCAAAAGGTTCCAGGGTTGGCTCCCTCATCAGGACAGGGCACAGCTGTCAACCCCAAACAGTTCCAGGGTTGGCTCCCTCATCAGGACAGGGCACAGCTGTCAACCCCAAACGGTTCCAGGGTTGGCTCCCTCATCAGGACAGGGCACAACCTTGGCTAGGGGGATCTAGAAGATAATTTTACAGTGGACCATTCTGTGTGATATTTTGAAAGCCAATACTTGAAGTCTTGGTAGTGACTAGAGTAACCAGTTAAATATGGTTAGTAGTTTTTCAGTACACAAGTCTTGCATGAGTTGGTGAATTAGTATATAGTTCTATATGTTTGGTAAATGCGTACTGACGTAGCCGATAGGTCATGTCTTCACTGTATAGGAATGCATTGTGGCTTTCGGCTAGTACTGATGTAGTGTATTTATTAGGTGTATATTGCTGCTGGTATGAGCATATGTGTGTATATATTGTACTTAGCTGTGCCATTGTAGCATTAGATATTGGAGGCATGCATTCTTTACAGGTGACTTCACTGTGGAGCACCTAACAAGAGGTTAGTATAAATGTGATGATATTTATTTGCATATGTTCTGTTCTGGATGTGTATGGTATTTTACATACTATATGTATGGTTTGGTTTCTATCTGTAACAGCAACTTGTGTCTGTTATAGGTCAATACGAAAATGTTTAACAATTCCTCTTTTACACGTAAATTTACTCTAGTTCTGAGTATACCATTTACACCGAAATTACACGCATCATGTCATCATGGCTTACGGTTGGTTAGTGATTGTCCATTATCGCCACCTGTCACATTAATAAACTGAAGGCCTGGTTGTAGATAATGGTGTTATTAGACAATGGCCGGCGTGTCTGAGGCAGTGGATCCTAGCAACACCTACTCCCAACGATGCACACAGCCATCACCCCCGCCCAAGAAATGGAGCTCAGAAACAACTTGCAACAATGTACCAACATAGGGTGGGGACAGGTTGGGTATATTGGTGTTACATCCTAGGACTACTGTTCTCCAGTAGTGTTAGGATGTTTGTTATTGGTCCCCCTCACGCCGTTCACGCGGTCACAGCTTAGCCACACCTACGGGTAGATAACGGGTTAAATGGCACATTTCCAGATACTGGTGGAATTTCTAAACTAAATTCGTGTGCTCATGTCACGAATTCGTCAGGGTTTCCAGATTGTTCAGAAAAACTGATACATACCTTGTTCGGAAACAGCGTCCTGGGCAGCCGTCAAAACTAGTGCCCGTCGTCTGCTCGATCACCCGCACAGCTGCTGTTAGCGTGCACGCCGCTGACTCAACAAAACACCCGTTTACTGGGATAGACGTAGAATTATCTCCCTTTGGCCATCACCGAAACACGTTCCACAATAATTGAGATGTAGGAGATAAGGGATAGGCCATGAAAGAATGACAGAGGTGAACGGAAGGACCTGAAATAGAGAGGGTTTTTCATTTAAACATATTTTATTCAGTGAAGAAAAGGATTAGGAACAAGTTATAGTGAGTGTTTGGGAGGTAAATGAAAGGACCTGAAATAGTGAGCGTTAGGGAGGTAAATGGAAGGGTCTGAAATAGTGAGGGTTGGGAGGTGAATGGTAAGGCCAGAAATAGTGAGTGTTTGGGAGGTATATGAAAGGACCTGAAATAGTGAGGGTTGGGAGATGAATTGAAAGACCTGAAATAGTGAGGGCTGTGATATGAATGGAAGTACCTGAAATAGTGAGGGTGCGGAGGTGTTAAGGACCTGAAATAGTGAGTGGGAGGTGAATGGAAGGACCTAAACTAGTGAGTGTTTGGGAGGTAAATAGAAGGACCTCACACAGTGAGTGTTTTGGAGGTGAATGAAATGACCTGAAATAGTGTTTGGGAGGTAAATGGAAGGACCTGAAATAGTGAGTGTTAGGGAGGTGAATGGAAGGGCCTGAAATAGTGAGTGTTTGGGAGGTGAATGGAAGGACCTGAAATAGTGAGTGTTTGGGAGGTAAATGAAAGGACCTGAAATAGTGAGTGTTTGGGAGGTAAATGAAAGGACCTGAAATAGTGAGTGTTAGGGAGGTAAATGGAAGGACCTGAAATAGTGAGGTTTGGGAGGTGAATGGAAGGAGCCTGAAATAGTGAGGGTTGGGAGGTGAATGGAAAGGCCTGAAATAGTGAGTGTTTGGGAGGTAAATGAAAGGACCTGAAATAGTGAGTGTTTGGGAGGTGAAATGGAAGGGCCTGAAATAGTGAGGGTTGGGAGGTGTTAAAGGCCTGAAATAGTGAGGGTTGGGAGGTGAATGGAAGGGCCTGAAATAGTGAGTGTTTGGGAGGTAAATGAAAGGACCTGAAATAGTGAGTGTTTGGGAGGTAAATGGAAGGGCCTGAAATAGTGAGGGTTGGGAGGTGTTAAGGGCCTGAAATAGTGAGGGTTTGGGAGGTGAATGGAAGGACCTGAAATAGTGAGGTTTGGGAGGTAAATGAAAGGACCTGAAATAGTGAGTGTTTGGGAGGTAAATGGAAGTGCCTGAAATAGTGAGGGTTGGGAGGTGAATGGAAGAGCCTGAAATAGTGAGGGTTGGGAGGTGAATGGAAGGGCCTGAAATAGTGAGTGTTTGGGAGGTAAATGAAAGGACCTGAAATAGTGAGTGTTTGGGAGGAAAATGGAAGGACCTGAAATAGTGAGGGTTGGGAGGTGTTAAAGGCCTGAAATAGTGAGGGTTGGGAGATGAATGGAAGGGCCTGAAATAGTGAGTGTTTGGGAGGTAAATGAAAGGACCTGAAATAGTGAGTGTTTGGGAGGTGAATGGAAGGACCTGAAATAGTGAGGGTTGGGAGGTGAATGGTAAGGGCCAGAAATAGTGAGTGTTTGGGAGGTGAATGGAAGGACCTGAAATAGTGAGTGCTTGGGAGGTGAATGGAAGGACCTGAAATAGTGAGGAGTGAAATAGTGAGAGGTTTGGGAGGGACCTGAAAAGGACCTGAAATAGAGTGAGGGAGGAGGTAAATGAAAGGACCTGAAATAAAGTGAGTGTTGGGAGGTGAATGGAAGGAGCCTGAAATAGTGAGTGTTTGGGAGGTAAATGAAAGGACCTGAAATAGTGAGTGTTTGGGAGGTGAATGGAAGGACCTGAAATAGTGAGTGTTTGGGAGGTAAATGAAAGGACCTGAAATAGTGAGTGTTTGGGAGGTAAATGAAAGGACCTGAAATAGTGAGTGTTTGGGAGGTGAATGGAAGAGCCTGAAATAGTGAGTGTTTGGGAGGTAAATGAAAGGACCTGAAATAGTGAGCGTTAGGGAGGTAAATGGAAGGGTCTGAAATAGTGAGGGTTGGGAGGTGAATGGAAGAGCCTGAAATACTGTGTGTTTGGGAGGTAAATGGAAGGACCTGAAATAGTGAGGGTTGGGAGGTGAATGAAAGGGCCTGAAATAGTGAGGGTTGGGAGGTGGATGGAAGGACCTGAAATAGTGTGGGTGTGTAAACAGGGATCACTGACTACAACCAGTACAATCGTCCACCCTCGACCAGGGGTCATTAACTACAGACCCCAACTTTGACTATACTCTCACAGGGGATATAGATCCTAGAAGGCAACAGAATAACTTCATCCCTCAGCAAGACACTCTCTCAAGTAACATTACATACTGGAACCACAGACCGCCTCAGACATGCAGACAGCAAGACGCTCCCTCAAGTAACATTACATACTGGAACCACAGACCGCCTCAGACATGCAGACAGCAAGACACTCCCTCAAGTAACGTTACATACTGGAACCCCAGACCGCCTCAGACATGCAGACAGCAAGACACTCCCTCAAGTAACGTTACATACTGGAACCCCAGACCGCTGCAGACATGCAGATCAGCAAGACACTCCCACAAGTAACGTTACATACTCCCACAAGGAACATACTGGAACCAGACCGCCTCAGACATGCAGACAGCAAGACACTCCCTCAAGTAACGTTACATACTGGAACCACAGACCGCCTCAGACATGCAGACAGCAAGACACTCCCACAAGTAACGTTACATACTGGAACCACAGACTGCCTCAGACATGCAGACAGCAAGACACTCCCACAAGTAACGTTACATACTGGAACCACAGACTGCCTCCTTCTAATCGTTACTCGGGCTTTCAGTCATTGGCTGACCGTGTTAGGACCAGACAGACTATGTTAGGACCAGACAGACTATGTTAGGACCAGACAGACTATGTTAGGATGTTAGGACCAGATTGTTACCTTTGTTAACATTGTGTGTTCAATGATTGATTGCTGTAGATGCAACCTGGATGTTAACTACAGGCGATGATTAACAATTCCACTCATTCAAGTCATTTTAATTATGGTTGAATGAATTATTTTCAAACTGGTGTGCACAGATATCAAGTGACTACACAGACAGGCAGAATTTACCCTTCATTCGTTTCCACTAACGCTATTATATGAATAATACGTGTAACAGAGCAGATATATATATGTGTATGTGGCAGAGGCATGTTCATTGGGAGGGGAATATTGGCATACCCCGTGTAACTTGGGAGACTGAGTTCCTGGATCCGGTAGAAAGGGTGAAGTCAGTCAATCTAAGGCTCACAAAAAGGCGGGAATACCTCTGCCTCTATTTCCCGCCTCAGTGTTCTCATTGTGAAAAGCGACAGGAAAACGAGGTGCCCTTTCAAAAAGCTATGTGCAGCACGCGCCCAGACGCTGTCATGCATACTTACGCGACTTGCATTTTAATTACAGGTAAATACGTACGCTGGGACGAATTGTCCGAATATTCTTGTCAAATATATTCCTTGTCAAAAATTGAAGCGCTTTAGCAAACACCTGTAATTGAGTGCCCACATGAAAGGCGAGCAGGTGAGACAGACAGGTGTTGGGGTGACACCACACTGCGTTCATGAACTGTGATCTACATCTGTGGTTGTAGCCTGAGATAGAGTGACTGAAGCCAGCCGCATCATTGAGAGTAAAGTAATCATATGATCCAGGAGGTGTTATACAGGCGTGCTACAGTCATCAGGGGGACAACTTCATTGCCAGGAATTAGAGCATTCAGTCTCGTTCCATGTCTTAGTGCTCGTGTGAGTCCTGTGTGCATGTAGTCAGTGTTTCGTTACAGGAAACTGTTTATTGACAGATTGTATACATTTCCTGCCTCACCAAACATCGCGGCTGCATTTCCTTGTGACAGCGGCTTATTCTCCCTATCTGAATTAAGATCCTCAGCTTGTAGTTGCCCGTTTAGACGTTGCGCCGGTAAACGATGTAGCTGGTGGCATTATTGGGCACGTGTCGTAGAGACGACTAACGGGCTCGGGTGGTGAAGGATGGTTGTTTTATTTCAGTCACTTGATTGTCTGGTCCAGACTCAATTATTTACAGACTTTCAATGGTCTGTTTATAATCCATAAATGCTTTCAGGGATATATTATCTTACACCTGAAAGGCTTTCTGAAAGAACGCTATTTCAAATGTTAAATGTTACAAGATGTTTCTGTTTTCAAAACTGCACAAGGAGAACGATAAGGTGTTTAAGTAAGTACTGCCGTGTGGGTGGACATCGTCTTGTGTGCTCTGGCAGACAAAGACTACTCTGGTCCCTGAGCATGTGTAATTTTGATAGAAAAGGGCACCGGAGGAAGCTTACTTCATTGAGGGGTTTTGCATCACAGAAGGGGCTGGCTGGCTGGGGAAGTACAGTGGTTCAGGGACTGAGAGACTATGACAGCCTGTGCGCTGACATCTCTGCACGGGATCCATGCAAGGTGCACCGACCCGGAAAGGTCAGCCCCAGTCAGACAGATTATTGCTGTGGTCGACCGCTCAGGGATTCACTCTATATGATAATGATAAGGATATTATGCGAGAGCTGGGGTCACATAGACTGAAGTCCGAGGATACCAAGGTCCGGATAGGACTTCCCCTAACAGAACACATCACTCCACAGATTGTAGGAGATCACGTGGCCTAACGTCAAGTGTGGAATAACACGATGGTGTCCAACCGGTCATTTGGAAGTCTGCAAGAAAACGACTGTCCAATCAGATTGCTTGTAACGAGAAAATAGCAGGATGAACATGCCGTTATACATGTACAGTGTACCGTATATATACTGGGTATTGTGTGTCCAACTTCGTGGTGGATGTAAAGAATAACCAATCAACGAGTACGTCATGAGGCAGGACATGGTGGTCCTTGAGCTGAGGCGATCTTAGACGCAGGTTTCCATGGATATCTCAGCTCCAGCTACTGACTTGTCTGAGGGTCGGAGACGTGTCTGTGTGGAGGTATTGGTGCGTGGTGCTGCCATTGTCCCAGTGCCCGCCCCTCCCCAC